TTCCACATTCCTGAGGGACAGAATATTGTCATTTTATTCCTGTAGTAAGGCAACAAGTAAACTGCTAATTTGGAAGGGGGGGAGGGGAGTGATCTGCCATCTTTTCCGCTACGTCTGAAAATCTCTGTCGTTCTCCATAGAGAGCTTATAACACTGCTGACCTGCATAATAACTTCTGGCTCATAAGAAATTATGAAACTTAACTTCTCTTTTCATTAAAAAAATAAAATATTCAAGACTATCAGCTTTTATATAAAATATCAGCAAGCCCAAAAAACAAAACAATTGCTGAGGTAACTTCATACCTTGAGGTAGCTTTTTTTTCTTCCCCCATTTTTTCTCTCTTTTCTCTTTTTTTTTCTGTTTCCCCCCCTTTCCCTTAAAACACACAGCAATGCCTGACCTATCCGCACATACCACTTTTTTGCAAGGTATAAAAAGGACAGTAATTGCTTCCATGTAAACAGCGAGATCCATGCAGCTGCTTAAATCAAAGACATTGGTTGAATTTTAGGCACATGGAAATACATTGGAAATCAAACTCTACTGCTCTTAAAGATCTTGGGTAAACCCGGATATCTGGCAAGTCAAATCAGAACCGAAGTCTGGTCTCTGCTAAAATATAGATCAATGTTTATCACAAAGAAGGTTGCTCCTCCCCCAATTCCAATTTTCTGTCCGTCTTTCTAAAAGGAAGGATGGCATTCGATCGGTTATAGGATAAGACTTGATCTTAAAAACACATATTGATGTTCTTGCATCCAAAGTGAACATGCCTTAGGATCACAGGTTCAGCCTCAAAACTTTGGTTTACATCACAAAACATGTTTCTAAAGTTCAGTTGTTCCAACAGAATTCTACCAGCAGGGCACTGAGGACCTGAAATATTAATTCATCCCAGAATGTTCATATTTAAATCAACAGGACAGATGCAGCAGCCTGAAGGTGGAATTAAGACTTCTGGACATGATTTTCTAGCAATTTAACAAGGCTTTGCAGTTAGCCATGTGTTTAAGGGGAATAACCAATTCTCTCGGGACAATACCCATCACCAACTGCCATGGAACAGACAGGTAACCAGGAGAAAACAGATCAGACCTTTTTCATTTTGGTAGGATGATAATTTTTTTTTTTTAGGCTATCTCAAAGGCTGATTTAATGTTCTTTAAGAACAAACAGCAGTAGGTTTGCTTAAATACTGCTTAAACTGGATTGGCAGCAATCCAATGCACACTTATTTGGAAGTAAGCCCCAATTAATTCAGTAGGCCTACTTTCAGGCAAACAGGTGCAGGAATGGGCAGAAAGGCTGCGATCCTATCCATGCTAACTTGGAGGTAAGCCTGGGGGCGGGGGGAAGACACACTTTTGTTGATACTAAACCAAATCATTTTAAAATCCAAACCAAGAGGGATTAACATTGGATTACCTGAGTTCAAAGCTCTCTGGAGCACCATGGGAAAAGTCTCCCTTAAAAGAATGGCCAGATTAACAAAAATTGAAAGACTATTTAACGCAGAGACGAAACTTGGTTCTGTGAGCAGGGCTGCTACGCAAGCAATTCCTGTCCTCCACAACTACTCACAATCCATTTGAATATCAGTTTGCACATTTTTTTTCTTTCTTTTTAAAGTTCGCGTAAGAGTGACTGGGATCAGTAACCGTATTACATTCTTCTGATGTCTATATTTGGTATGGCCTCACAAAGACCTCTCTATGGCAGAAAAAATTACTTCTCCCCCCCAATTTCGATGTGTTTTTTTTAACTGTCCATTTCCAACCCCCATCCCCCCAAATTTTGCGGCATTTTCAGCCTCCTTCCCCCCCCCAACAAAAAAAATCCAGCCTCTCCAAACATACTTATTTAAAACTCATCTGTCATTATTAATTATCCTTTTCTGGGAGACTGGGGTTTGGGTAAAACAGATGTATGGCAGTACCCTGGCAGCTGGGTGTTAGCCACTTGGTTATCCATTTTCTAGAGAACACAATCTTTGTCACGTATTTCCAGGCGAGAATTCGCTATACCACCTGTTCCATGGAGGAGATGAGACTGTCAGTGCAATCCTAAACAGAGCTGCACCCTTCTAAGCGCACTGAAATTAACTGGTGCAACTCTGCTTTGGATTGCACCGTGCATCTATCTATTAACACTGCAATGCCAGATTATTGAGCTCCCCATGCAAAGCCTTGGGCACCATAGAACAAACTGCACACAGCTTTCTGCTGCCCTCTGGATCAAGATGGCCAATTGAGACTTCATTTCCCCAGACTGTCAAAGCACAGAGGCTCCCTAAATGCAGGGCTTCCAGCCCTTTAAGAACACCAAAGAAGTTTCAGCAGATGGAGTCTCTCCCCTCCCCCTTTCCTGCACCAACAGTGCAGCAGTATCATGTGAGAAGCTTCTGCTCGCTCTAGAGAAGGGCTGGAAGATCTAATTCTCATAAACTAGGATTCTGAAATTGTTCGTTCTGGGCAAGTGATTTGAAAATGGGTTATTTTAGGGGACATTTAATCACCCCCAATAGTAATAATAAACAATAACAGCATACACTAGCCCTTGGATTGCCCTGAATGTGAGAAAAAAGTCGTGCCTTAAAGGCAGATGATGACAAATATAAAGCAGTCCAGGGGCTTGTGCTGCACAGTATACGATGCCATAATGTTGATTTGCCAAAACACATTGGCTGAGAGCACCATTCTAAACAGAGTTACATTCTTCTAAGCCTGTTGACTTCAGTGGACTTAAGAAGGATTTAATTCTGCTTTGGATAGCACTGCACAAGTGCTACATTTGCTGCTGGATAATTCCCTTCAACAGCAAAGGAATATGTTAGTTGCAAGGTGAAGCATAACCTGAGAGATAGTTTGGAACTTTTGCTACGGTTTAGTCTTGACAGGACTGCCACATCAAGATCTGTATCCTCAAAAACAAAAGAGGCATGGTGTCTGAATTTCAGTACCCACTAAATTCCTAAAAATCTTTCTTGCACGGTTATGTCTGGGCTTCCCAGGTGAAACCTGGCTTGTGATCTTAGCTTTTAAAATGAAAAGAGTTTGGATTTTCCTTTGTTTTTAGTTTGGTTTTTCGCAAAAATCTAGTTTTCCCCCCGCCTCTCAGCTGAGATATATACTAAAACCAAAGGAAAATCCGAACCCTTTTCTTTTTAAAAAATCTAAAAATATTTGCATCCTGTGACTTGATAGCTTATGAATATTATAATTTCTGTTTTTCCTCAGCTTTCCTATCTCCAGATTTATGCCTTAGGTGAATTAAAACCTTGGCAAATTTTCACAAGTGCTTGGCTTTACAATCATTTCAGGGGTGGGTGGAAGAGAATTTACTTCCTTCCTGGATCAGTAGAGCTTTTTCAAAGAAACTGGAAAAATTGAGACATCACACCATCTTGTACGTTCTGAAACTTAGCAGTTTGGCACGATATCTGAATTAGCAATACCATAGTTTGTAACTGGTGGCAAACCAGAATTTTAAAAAAAACATGGTTTGAGGCAAGTCAGCAATCTATGGTTTGATGTAACAAATGAACTGACAAATTAAAGTTAGCAACACTGTTCTGCCTACAGAGCCCCTGAACTCCAGAAATATGACTGCTGGAAGTAGACAAGTAGTTCTAGACTATGTTCTGCTCATACGTTCAGAGAGTCAAACTAGAGTTTGGGTTCTAAACTATGGCTACTGCAAACCATGGTTTGTTGTGATGTCTGAATCAAACCAGTGTTTGAAATCCAGAAGAATGAATGCTAAGAATAAAGGCAGTGTTACGTGTTTGTTTTCCCTACCTACTTTGGTTTAAGATCTGATGGCCAATTTGAAGAAAGGGAGGGGGAATCCATTAATATAATATAATAAGATAATTCTAGATCAGAAAATAAGAATTAATATTCTTAAAGTGACAGGAAGTCCCTGAAGGACGTATGTGCCAACAGAGCTACACTGGGGTGAAAGATCAGTGTGATTCCACTTCGGAAATATTTATCTAAAAGCATTTTGGTCCAGAGGTAGCCTTTGGGTCTCCTAAGCATAATGTGGCCACAGAACCATGGAACAAACCAGAGGCCATTGCTGTGATTTCAGTTCTTGAAACCGTGATGCCACATCTGGAGATGAAACCAGGAGCACCACCAACAAAGCAAACCCCCCCCCCCCAAGCAACATGCAGACGTTGCAAGGAAAGAGCAAACCATTCAACTGAATACCTGGGGCTGTCTTTCCTATCACAGAAATGCTAGTCCAAGCAAGGTTATTGTCCCGCTGCTCAACAGCTAGGATAGCTGGGGTCAAAAATTTAAAACCAGCCCCAGCCCACTGGAGATAAACGAAAAGAGAGTCTGGAAAGGGGTCCCCCACCCTACCACACGCTGATTTTTACAGTCATCAACGTGTGGGAATCAAGCGGAACCTGGCTATCCAAACGGTGGGAACCCAAAGCATGCTAGACACCACCAGGGGATCTAGTCCCACTTAGTTTCCATCTCCTGACAATTACAACTCTGGTTGGAGGACAGGCAGTTGCCCAAGTAAAGAAAATCCTGCTGCATTTGGGAGGGGGAAAGGCAAGGGAGATGGGATGTTACTCTCCTCTGCTCTTGATCTAATGCACAGCAAACTGTATGCGTGAACTCTGTCTGCCCCTTTGGACAATTTCACACAAACACACACCCTAATCAATTGAAAACAGATTCTGGGGTCTGATTAGAATTTTTTCCCTACCAGCTGATCCAATTTTGCCCCCTCAAATATATATTTATAAACTGCATGCCTGAGGAGCCAATCATATCTGCCTTTGGCTCTTGAGACATTAAGTCACCCGTCTACATGGAAGTTACTAATACCCGCCTACGGTAAACTGATTCCCAGACACTCTTAGGGGTTCCGCATCAGCGCGTCACTCTTTCTGCTTGGCGTTCATTTCATCCGTTGTCATTGTCATCCGTTTGTCCATCTTTTTCTTTCTCACGCACCCGGGGTAAAGCATCTTCCTATTTCCTTCGCGCCTGCGTCTGGCTGTTCTGTCCCTTCTGATGCTGTTGTTTCACCTGAGCGAGGATATCACGTATTTTACGTTGCGCCATCTGGAAAGAAAGAGGGAGGGGCAGAAAAGGCTGAATGCAGTGGATGAAATTTCTCTGGTCCAGGTAAGACCGCCCAGTGATTCTGGGAGTTTCTGTCTGCGGATGGATAAATATTCATCACTGTGACCAACTATAAGTCAGTGAACTTTATTATACAGTCAACAGACTTCTTTTCACTAATACAACAAAGTAAAACAAAACAATAGCACCAGTACTTGTCTGGTTCACAGAATTTCACCATACAGGATGCAGTCACAATGGCTACATTAAGAAAACAGCCAGTAATACGCCCATTTTAAGCGGCAAGAAAAAAGCAACTAGCCCTTCTGTTCAATGGCCTATTACCATATCCATCTTGCCCAACTGCATTCTCTCACTCAAAAAAGCCCTCACATTGAGCAAAGTGTGTGTATGTAAATAAATATATGGGCTTAGGTCTAGCCTAGAATTTCTAAAGGCCCAAGGGAGGCGGTTATTTTCGTCAGCTGCTGGAAACCTTTAGCTTCCCGCCAATTAATTGCTAGCGGCCCTCTATCTCCCAGAAGCAGCATTTTGGGGGAGTTTGGGCCTGCTGTGGAAGGAGGAAACCAGCGAAAACTAGCATCCCTCCACTGCACCTGCAGAAAATCAAAAAGAGATCCAAGCCATTAAAATTCACACATAAAACACATACATTATGGGCTTTTTCACATTCTCATTTTCTTTGCTTGTAAGTTCCTGCTTTCGTCGGGGTTTCCCCCCGTTTTGCACCTTCTTGTGGTCAGTTTGATATCACACCGGTTTATGACTGGCATTAAACCCTGCAATTTAAATCTGCAGGGAGACGTGCCAGACATAAACTGATCTAATATCGAACTAACTACTACAGGGAGCAAAAACACAGGCAAAACAGGAGCCCCCCCACCCCGAAATGGAAAGTTAGAATGCAGAAAAGCCTTATGACTGGATTCAGACTCCCAATTGAAACATCTCTAAAAATGTTCACAAGCTGGGGAGAGGGACTGGTGTCAGGAGGGGTAGCTACCCTCAAATCTTATGTACATAAAGGAAAAATTATCTTACATTATAATAGTAAAGTGTGGTCTCAGTCACAGATACTTAAATATGCGGATCAAGGCCATGCTAACATAAAACAGATAGTCCTACAAACTTGGGAAACTCCTCAGGTTTGCAGAAAACCAGTGGCAGTGTGAGGGGGGCAAGATGGTATCTTCCCCCGCAGGTGTCATGGGTCCACACTTGTCCTCTTCCAATTTCATAGGTCACATCTGAGAGTGTAATTCAACAGATTGGTCATCTCAGATTAGGGACTAGAACCCTGCTTTTGGGTATGTGGAGCAAAACGTAACATATCATTTTTGTTTTAAAAAATGCCCTTGTAACAGTTACCTTGTACCACATTTCACCACAACCACTGGCAAAAATGACTGATCTCGACATCCTACCTGGCTGGCATAGAAATGTCCTATGATTTTAACAATCACTTGCTCATTCTCATCAGGGGTTTGGTCCCGTGGGACGACTACCTCAGCCGCCGTCAGGTTCTGCAATTCATTGACCTGCAAGTGGGAAACCAGCAATCTTTTAATGATATCGAATAAATACGCACAAAACTTCTTCAGCCAAACCCCATCTCAACAGTGCTTGCCAGGAGAAAATCAGGGACAAAAGCAGGATAAAAATATATTAACTAAACAAATAAACAAGCCAGTACACCTCTCATGATGAGTCCACCTGTCTTTATAATTTATTTAAATATTTTTATATCATCTTTCTCCCAGGCATTCCAGGACCCACGATTGGGGGGGGGGGGATGGAGAGAGAGAGAGAGAGAGTTAAGATAATGGATGTGCGTCTCTAGCTTCACTTCTTCTTTGGGCCCCAAAAAGATGGGTGGTTCCCGCTTCTTACAGCCAAGTCAAATCTTCTATGGTCAGAAACAAGGACTTTTTACTGATAGCACCCACCTTACAGAATCAGCTTCCCAAATTAGGCAAGCAACTTGGCTAATTAGGTTTTGTAAAGCTTGTAAGACCTCTCCTTTTAAATGAGCTTTTAACTTGAGGGGAGGGATGAAATATTTATGGTAGGTGCATCTGAAATGTTGGGAGTTTTCTTTGGACACATGATTTTCAACACTTTGCCATTTGGTTTTAAATTGTTGATGTTTACAATTATTTTACATCTTTTGTTATTACAAGGACCACCTTGAGTTGCAAGGAAAGGTGGAGATACAAACCTTTGAATACATATACAAACAGGCCACTTTCAATGTACTGTCATTCCTCCCCAGGTAGAATACTCCAGAAATAAAACTTTTTTTGAGTAAAAGTTCAAAGAGTCCCTCAGAAGAACAGTGCTGCTCGGACATCAGAAGTCTTGGGGAACACTGACCCTACTACATGATTTCGCAGCTCCAAAATAACTAAGAATCAAACACCACCATCATAATTGTTCTCTCAAAAGCAATTCCTGCTCCACAAGCCTGCCTTTGCTGAAGTAAGGCTGTGGCTATGCTGGAACACAATGGGGATTTTTTAAAAAAACCCAGTCTGTGGACCGAACCCCAGGAGGTTCATCAAGACCAGAACTCCTAGGTTTCTGGAAGTCTTAAAGGCTTTTTAAAATTAATTCTTCCTACTTAATGATTCAATGTTGTTTTCTATGCATTATTACAAAGTGCTTTTTAATGGGGGTCTACGGACGGGGCTCTCACAAATTAGGACACATCAATCTCCAGTTCTAGGGTTGGTAAAGTTTTTTATTTTATATCTAATAAAGACAACCAACAAACAGACAACATATGTTACAAACAAGTTGGGGGTTCATATTCATCTTATTACATCTATTTTGTTACCTCCTACAGTATCTAAATATATGTTAAGTGATTTTTCCACCACAACCATTTGTATAAGAGTTTTGCTTTATGTTTAAGAATATAAAATTATATTATCTCCATTTTATGTCACTATTTGTTCATTTAACATAATCGTTTAACCATTTGTAAAATCCTGATCATATATTTTGAAATCTTTCTTCTCCAGTTCTAACATATTTATTACCTATGTTGTTTTACGCCCCCCCCCAGTTGAACCAAAACAGACGATAACCAGAAACCAAGCTTGTCATTCTTTTGATCTGTTAAAAAAAAATATTTTCACTATTTTGCATGCTAATTTAACAAGCCACCTATATATACAACTAAGATATGTAATTCCATTTCATCTTCTGACAAAGTGTACATACACACGAAAACTCACATCTTGAATAAAACTTTGTGGGTCTTAAAGGTGCCATTGGACTCTAACTTTGTTCTATTGCTTTCTAGTGAGTTAGTTAAATGTCAGACTGGGATCTGGGAGACCCTGGAGCAAATCCCCCACTCTGCCATGGAAGATCAGCGGGTGACCTTGGGCCAGTCACATGCTCAGTCTAACCTGCCTCATACAGCTGCTGTGAGGATAAAACAGAGGAAATGAGAAAGATGTAAGCCACTCTGGGTCCCCATTGGCAAGCAAGGCAGGGTGTAAAAGGAATGAATGAATAAATAATGCCACCTGTCCAAGTTTCCAAAACGGCCCCTGACACACCAAACCTTCGACTCACCGTCTTGCCTCCTTTGCCAATGACTCTTCCTGCGGCCGAAGCCGGGACTCGGATGTGCGTCTCTAGCTTCACTTCTTCTTTGGGCCCAAAAAAGTTCTCCTCTTTAAGCTTGCCATAAATTCGCCCTTGAGCCTGCAGAGCGGACAAACCAGGAAGCCATTCAGCTCCACAGTTACGCCTTCCTCCATCCAGACAACCCAGGCCTGGCTATGCTTTAAAGCAGGGGTGTCAAACATAAGGCCCGGGGGCCAGAGCCAGCCCATCCAGGGCTCTTATGTGGCCCACAAGCAAGTAGTGCAGAGGAGGGAACAGGAAACTGCTCGGGGGGAGTAGACCGAGCCACTCCGATTGTGGCTTCAGCAAGACAGAACAACCTCGTCTGCAGTGGTCAAGCGGTGTGGGGGTGTCTGCCCAGATGGGTTTTCCTTTACACCACCCACCCAGCCCATGGGGCCCTGCAGTGAGGATACACGAACTCGGAGCTTACCAGCTGCTGTTCCTTATACAGTTTATATCTCCGGTACCTGGCATTATGTTTATGGCACACATGGTCTAGCCCAACAAAGTGACAATTATGTCAGATCCAGCCCTTGTAACAAATGAGTTCGACACCTCTGCTTTAAAGGCAACACGTTTTACAACTTCCCACCCTCCCAGTGTTGGTCTCTCCCACTCCTGAGAGTGTAATCTCCTTGGGACAGGGATTTTTCTCTTGTTGTTTATGTTACTCTTACGGTGTGCATTTGGCATAAACCAAGCCCAAAAATACCCTAAATATTTTTAGGGTATTATTTCAGCTGAATACAGATCAGAGAATCTGGACTATTGGTATAGCTGAGCCTGAATAAAGGCGATTCCCCCCCCGGCTTTTATTCGGGTATATTCAGCTATACCGAATGCCTGGTGGGCTCATCTCGCAGCTCAGTGGGAGCTGACAGCTCCACGTCACCTCAGCTGGAGCTGGATCCTCTTGCAGCTCAGTTTAAACAGAGCTGCAAGGGGATCCAGCCAAGGCAGCGTGGGGCTCTCAGCTCCCACCACCCCAGCTGATTCTCTCGTCTCCCTACCGCATGCAGATCCTGGGGCCAGCTTCTCCTGTGCAGCAGTTTAAACCGCACAGCAGGGGAAGCCAAGCCAGCCCCAGAGTCAGGCTGGCTTTTTTTTTTAAGCCAGTATTTTTCTTCTTGGGTCTATTGGACCTGAAAAAATATGACATTTTCTGAAAAGTCCCAGATCCCAATACCATGCCGGGATTTTTTGGGAATACCAAAAAATTTTCAGGTCCAATATACCTGAACTGAGAAATACCGAGGTTTTTTGCACACCCCTAGTTACTCTGCAAAGCATCATGTAGATTAATGAGAATGCAGTAGTAGCAGCAGCAATATAACTATAACTACTAACAACATCAGTCAGGGCTGTCACTCAGTTAAAAAGCCCTATTTGGTCATATGACTTTTGGTCAATTAATACATTATTCAACTTAATTCGCATACAAGACTTCTGATGAGAAATGAATAATCTTCTTCATTTTTAGAATGTGTACACATATGTTTTAACAGGTACCAAAACAGGAAAAACATTGCTTCCTGTGTGGACAGGAAGTGCTTCTTGCTTCTTCCTAGTTCTTGCCACCTACTGTGTCTACAAGTACTGGTATTAATATGTGTGTATGTGCGCTAAGTATGATTGACTAATAAGCTTTAAGAACTATGTACCTAAGAAGCCAACTCCTATCTTTATGAGCAATGGCTTTCTGGCAAAGAGTTATGCAAGTTAAAATGGAGGAAACAAACCTTGAACTGGGCTTCTGGTGGTCCAGTGATGATTACCATCCGCACTTTAGAATCCGGCGTCTCTGGAGGTGCAATCTGGAATACACCAGAGGGAAGCATGTGAAACAAACTGATTCACTGAGTATCTAACTGGCAGGCAAAATCCACTTTGGTGGGCGGAAGACTGGGGTGGCTATTCTGAGCTGTGTCTGAAATTGTACGAGGTAGAACAGTTAGATATGAGTCCACCTGTGAGACCAATAAGATTTTGGAGGTATGAACTTCCCACAGTCACGGTTGTCTTCGTCAGATACGGCATCTGACATAGGGAGCCTTGACTCTGGAAAGCTCATTGGTTCGAGTGTCGGACTAAAACCTGGAAGACCAGAGTTCAAATCTCCAATCAGCCCTCTTTTCTTTGTGGTTCAAGGTGGCTTACAGTAATAGTTACAATAATAATATTAATAATTATCATATGACAGTGTGTGTAGTATAGCCAGGAAATCCTAAGATTGTCTGGCAGCCAGAAGTTCTAGTGCTTTCAGCGTTATGCACCACTAGAAAATCTGGATCCAAGCAACTGCAAGGACAGAAGTGTTTGGGAGACAGAAAAAAAAATGAGAACCTTGATAGAGGCACTTGCAAATCTGGAGAGCTGTTTGATATGTTGTCCTTTCTTGCCAATGATTGCGCCCACAGCCTGCGCAGGGATGAAGACGTGCACCGTCTCTTGCTCAGGAGGCTGCCGAGAGATTTTTGTGGCTGTTGATTAGTTATTGGTTCAAACTGCACAGCACAACAGTTTAAAACATGGTTGCCTGTCATCTCACCCCACCTACTAGCCAAATTGTTCTGATGTCACTGAACATTTATGCACACTCCACCAGCTGTGAGAAATGTAGGGCTGCCAGGCCAGGTTTTACCACAGAGTTTCCAGCAATTCCTAGAGCTACTAAATGTCACTTCTGGGTTTTCCCCAGAAGTGACGTAACAACACCAGTGATGTTGTTGGAGAGCCAGTTTGGTGTAGTGGTTAAGTGCGCAGACTCTAATATGGGAGAACCGGGTTTGATTCCCCACTCCTCCACTTGCACCTGCTGGATGACCTTGGGCAAGCCGTAATTCTGGCACAGCTGTTCCTGAAAAAGAGCAGTTTCTGTCAGAGCTCTCTCAGCCCCACCTACCTCACAGGGTGTCTGTTCTGGGGAGGGGAAGGGAAAGGAGTTTGTAAGCTGCTCTGAGACTCCTTCAGGTAGTGAAGGGCAGGGTATAAATCCAATCTCTTCTTCTTCTTCTTGTCCCCCCCCCCTCCCTGCCAACAGTTGCCAGGCTCATTGCGGCAACTCTAGACCTCTGGCCTAGTTCTAAACAAACCTGAAGTGCTAAATCTGTGGCTTAGACTGTATCACTGCTGACTGTAAGAGGGAGGCTCTTATATAACTGGATGACGCTCCATACCAAAGCAACACAAAACCCACACACTGAAAATCCAATACCAGGGAGAAGGATTTAGCCTGTCCTTTTCCCTGACATGCTAGTTTTCTGTGTGAAGGAGTTTTCGCCCACTCCCCCCACACACACACCACAAATGGCAGACAGCATAAAAATGCCACAAAAGAAGCATGTGAAATGTGGAAAGTAGCAAAGAAACTAGTCTCCCACATGAAAGCAGGCTTTAGGCTGTCAACCTACCAAAAAAGAGCTGTACGGGGCTGCTCCGGAGACACTACTTGGAGGAGGTGGCACGGCATTGGAAGAGGCAGGAAAGAGGCCGACAGCAGCTAGGTTAAGACCAGGTATCAGGTGCGACTGCAGCTGAAAGAGAAAAGTAAAATCAGATGGACCTAATGTAATAATAAATGTACTAATTTTACATTTTATTTTGACCCGTCAACACAGAGAGGCTTTGCTTTTACCTTAACAGACTAAAGTGGTTTGCAGCGATACTGGTCCAAAATCAAAATCCGTAACCAAACTACAATCCACTTAACTTTTATGACGACCAGCGATGATGACACAAAACAGTGTGCAAGCTTTATTGTTCATTCACTCAGCACAGAGATGCCAAAGAGAGGAGGCCTTTAAAACCACGGCCTGGGACATCCCCCTCCCTCCCCCATTTTCATTTTTTAATTTCAAACATCCAGCCTGAGGAACAACTCTGGCAAACTCAAAAGCCTGCATGCTGTTCTGTGCCATTGTAGCTGGTCCTATTAAAAGGTCTCACATGGATGGTGATTTTTGTTTTCACTGAACTGTTTACTGTCAAATCTATTTGCTCTGTTACAGAGGACTGCACAAACTACTGCAGTTGCAGAGAGAGAGAGGGTGCCTACTATACAACTCTGAGCACAGGTGTGTTTCTTGGGGGGGGGGGTTAAGGCATTAACATGTACATTCAACACATGGCAGGGTGCAATGTGTTGCTTCCATGGTGCCATCAAGTGTTACCACACTGTTGAGACAGGTATACAAAAAATGATCAGCAACGGCAGACCAGTAAGCCTCAGGCTTCTGTGCGCAAGTTGGTAGAGGAAAATGACCACCAGTCATGACAAAGATACAGACACCAAAAGACAAATGACATTCCTAGTACTGGATCTGAAATGACGTTCCTAGTACCTTACTGAGGGCACGGTATGTATGTTCACCAGCGTTCTTCGAATTCCCATCCTCTTGTGCTATCTCAAGCTATTTAAGAGACCTAAGAACCCCTCATTATAAAAGAGCATTCATCCTTGCCTGATTAATTCTTTTCCCTTGGCTACAGTGGAAAGCCAATACACAGGTACAGTGTATTCAGACAGAGTTTGTAAATGTGGATCTGGTCAGCTGGAGTCTTTAGAACATATTTTATTGGAATGTGAAATTATTTCTGGGAGAAAGGTATTTGTCCTCCCTCTTAATAGGTTATGTGAATTTATCACCTAAAAAAACCTTCGTTTTTTCCTTGTAGATGAGGATCAGAAAACCACCTTAGCAGTCACCAAATATTTAGCTATGGGGAATGCCTGTAAGAGGGCTGGATTTTGATCTGTTCAAGACCTTTGAGTAAGAAGAACAGGAGGAGGAGGAGAGGAGATTGGATTTATACCCCACCCTTCACTACCCGAAGGAGCCTCAGAGCAGCTTACAATCTCCTTTCCCTTCCCCTCCTCACAACAGACACCCAGGGAGGTAGGTGGGGCTGAGAGAGCTCTTTCAAGAACTGCTCTGAGAGGACTTGTGACTGATCCAAGGTCACACCAGCAGCTGCACGTGGAGAAGTGGGGAATTAAAACCCGGTTCTCCCAGATTAGAGTCCACGCCCCTAACCACTACACCAAACTGGCTCTCAGTAAGAAGTGAGCATCAGCATAAGTTAGAAACCCGGGGAGCTCCAAGCTCAATCTCACATCACACATAAGTGGCTGCTTTTACGCAAGCCACCACATCTCCCTTCGAATGTATCACCAAGCCAGTGTCCTAGAGTGCCCTCGGGGGATACACATGCCCCCTCCTCCCTCATCATGCACACACAAGGTTTCTTCCTCCACACCCTCGTTCTTGCTAACAGGGAAAACTGGCACACTTGCCAGGAGTTTGTGCCCATCTCCCAAGACGTGGTTTGCAAACCCACTTCAAGCCACAGATTCAAAGGTGTCATGTCTAACCTGACCCTATTTCTCAGCCTTCGTCTTCCATCTACAATGTGGGAAGAAGAACAACAATCTGCTCTAGAGTCATGGGGATCCGAATACTCAGAAGACTCTGTGTGAATCATCCTCGGTTATCACCACTGCTTATCTGTGGGCGCAGAAATGGGTGTGCGGCTTTTATTCCCCTGAATCAGGACACTGTCTAAAATCAAGATGGATGTATTCTTAATTAAAGGCTCTCCCTCTGCCCAGTTCTTCTGCAGCGTTTCATTTAGCCCAGTAAATGATCATGGCCTTGCACATAAATCAACAAGCATTTCTAGTCCACAGGAAGTGACATTAGATGGAAAACCGTCAATCACAGACTGTGGTGGCTGCTTGTGGGACATCGTAAGTACATCTCAGTCCCAGGGCAGAGGGAATGAAAGGAAAACACTTGACATGAGCATACTCACACTCATCGCTGCCACGTCATTCTCGTAGGCCTCCCTCACTTTCTTCATGATCTCCTGCTCTGCTCGGCAGCAGTTCTCAATGGAGCCTTTCACAGTGATGGTCCTTTCGGGGTTGTAGAGGGTCAAGTCCTGCAGACTTAGGAGGGCAAAAAGAGACCATCAAAAGCGCTTATTTATCAGTTCAAAGAGTCATACTCTGCTCTTCCTTCCTTCAAAGGGCCTGACAATCAGCAAATTCATAATCCATACAAAAAAAAACTTTCAATGGAAAGAACCCTTACAGTTCAAGCAACAAAACAACTGCAGGGTGGCAGGAGATACATCAAGTCCAACTATTTCTGGCTCAAAAGCCCTTCTAAAAAGCACCGTCTCACACAGCCCCCAGAAGGACAGTTAACTGGGGAAGATGTTGAGTCTCCTTGACTAAGCCATCCCAAGGCACGGCAGCTGCAGAGGGTCTTGCCAAGTCAGGATATGCCAAACGAGAGGCACGCCCAACAAACGCTTTCCAGAAGGTACGACAGGAGGTCCATACAGACATACCAACTCAAGGTCTACTCCAGCTTCTGCTCCCAGTTCTGCGTCGTCAACTCGTTTACAACAGAAAGCCATTCACCAGAGCAGTCCGTGCAATTGGCAATTCTGATGCATGCTGCCCCCTATGCACAAAACTCACTAATTGCTGGCTATGCGCTGTAACAATAAAATTCATTCATTCATTCACAAAACTCACTGAAGGTAGTACAATGTTGTCATATCACCAACAGTGGTGGAAACTGTAGGGAGCTCAGTGTACTACCAAGCTACAACAGATAAGAGATATTATGGGCTTTTCCTCATTCTCATTTTCCTACCAAGCTACAACAGATAAGAGATATTATGGGCTTTTCCTCATTCTCATTTTCCTTGCTTGTAAGTTCCTTTTCTCCCCCCCTCCCGGGGGGGGGGGGGAGGGGGTGGTTTTTGTTCCACACTTTGCTCCCTCTAGTGGTTGAATGAATGTTACACTGGGTTATGTCCACCATATCTCCCTGCAAATTTAAACTGCAGGTTTTTATGCTGGACATCACCAATGTAATATCAAATTGACCACTAGAGAGAACAAAACATGTTCAGAACAACAACAAAAAAAAAGAAAGAGGAACTTGCAAGCAAAGAAAACGAGATTGCAGACATGCCATGTATCAGGGAATGCTGGCAAGATTTTGGGTGTCACGAAAGCGATGCTACCTGTTGGAGGTGGAAGAAAACGTCCCACCATTGCTCATCCCTTGGGGACAGAGAGCAGAGAAACCGCCCCTCCCTCAGAATCTTGCCTTAAAATATTTTAACCTTACTCCTAATACATTAGGAACTAAGATACTAGTACAGAGTTATCGCCCGCTCTACTCTACTTTTTCATATATAAAACTATTAGGACGCAAGGGTGTCCAAAAGATTGTCAAGGCCCAAAGGTGTGCATGGAGTCAGACGGCTGGGTGAGGCTCTAGGGTGGGGCAAGCCGAAGTGAGGGCAAACCCAGGCTGCAGATTCATACCTCTTCCAAACTATCTAGCTCATCTTGTATTAACCAGCAGCAAGACGCAAATCCTCCAAGTACACGTTCTCCTTTTCACAAAGAGGGAAGAATATCTACCAGGAACATATCCATTTACTATTTGTTTAGTACATTTTTATCCTACCAGTCCTCTAAGGTGGTAGGTAGCACTGGCTTCCAGTGGAGTACTGAGTCAGGTTCAAGGTCTTGGTACTGACCTTTAAAGCCTTGAGTGGTCTGGGATCCACATATCTTTGGGACCGCCTCCTCGGGTATGTCCCCAAAAGAGCTTTATGCTCTGCTGAGAATAACCTGATGGTGGGCTCTAGCCCCAAAAGATGCCCAGCTGTCCTCGATCACTGCCAGGGCCTTTTCAGCCCTGGCTCCCACCTGGTGGAACTCTCTGCCAAATAACACCTGAGCCCGGAGGGGCCTGGTGCAGTTCCGCAGGGCTTGCAAAGCAGAGATGTTCCGTCAGGCTTTTGGTTGAGGACAGCAACGAGCACCATCTCATCTGGCACTTCCTTCCCCTCCCCCATCCTGCTTTTTTCTCCATCTATTTATAAGACAGTAATGCAATTTGTAGATTGATTTAGCACCACTGGAAAATGTTCTTATCTATTTTAATTTTTTTTTATTTTAAATGGTATCGATTTCCTGCTGTTAACCACCCTGAGCTCTGTAAACTCGGAGAAGGGCAGTTTATAAATCAAAATTATTTTTTAAAAATAATAAAAACCTCTGCCTGAAACCTTGGAGAGCTGCTGCCAGTGACCTCAATTGGACTAATGATCTGACTCAGTAGTAAGGCAGCTTCACTTGTTTAGTGAGCTCCATTTTATCCTCACAATAAGCATGTGAAACAAAGTTTGAGTCCAGTGGCACCTTTAAGACCAACAAAACCCAACTAAGTTTTATTTGAAGTGTAAGCTTCTATGTGTAAAGCACAGTTCTTCACAAATGGAACAAAATCTCCACATAGGGTTCCCAAGTACTTACCGCGATCTGGCGGGGGAAACATGCTCCCCGGCCGGACCATTCCTCCCTGTAACGCACCATGCCGTCGCCAGGAAGTGACGCCGGGCGCTGGTGGGGGCGGTGGAGGGAATGCCCAGGGGTATGGGTATCGGTTCCCATATAAGTAGTGCCATTGTCTCTCATCCCAGGCTAAGGGAGGGGACGCCGGTCGGTGTCGATCATCGACTCCACGTTCCGGAGAAGCATGAGAGGATTGACGACTCGACATATCAGATTGCGACTGAACTGTCTGCTGAGTAAGGTCGATGTCGAGATCTGAACCGATCGGGTGGTGAGGTTCTTGCGTGAGATCTCGGCCTTGACTAGCTGAAACCTTATGGACTTTCGACTTGTCCGTTTTAGGTTTCTTCGACTGCTGTGAGTCTTTGCCCTGCTTCCGGATCTTGGAAGGTACGGCATCAGATATCCCCTGCTTCCGGATCTTGGAAGGTACGGGGTGGTCTTTTATCGGCGTCGAACGTTTCGGTGCCGAAGCATCGATTGCGACCGTCGACGTCGATGTTCCCGGAACGGGAGGACAAGTGTCCTCAGCCAGGGTCGACATTGAGGCGTGTCCGGACGTGTCCAATGGAGAGGAGGACTGAGGGGATAGTGCCTTCTCCATCAAAGCCAAATGCAGACGAGCTGCCCTGTTTTTTCTCGTCTGGTTCGAAAACTTCCGGCAATGTCCGCACTTGGACACACAGTGCGACTCCCCTAGACAGACGAGGCAAAGTGAGTGCCCGTCGGTGGGGGATATTTTAAGGCCGCAAGTCTTGCACCGTTTGAAACAACCCCACCGCGGGGCCATAGGCCAGCGGAGGGGAAACGAGAAAAACACAAAACAACACCCGGAGAAAAATGCTAACTACAAAAATAAAGAAAAAGAAAGTAACTAAACGCAAGTTTAGCCAAAAAAAAAAAATTTGGTACTTAACAGACCGAAGCAGAAGGCGTCCTACCAGCGCGGCGGTCAGAAGAGAACTGGCGGGATCTGCGTGCCCCTCCTTGGTCATGCGCAGTGGAGCCGGCGCGTGACCTGGGAGAGGCGCGAAAATCCCTTTTGCTAGCTATCGGTACCGAGAAGGTCAGCGCAGGCGCAGTATTCCCAAGGGTGTGATGCACAGAGACCACGAAGAAGATCAAAACATGTTCAGAACAACAACAACAAAAACAAAGAAAGAGGAACTTGCAAGCAAAGAAAACGAGATTGCAGAAATGCCATGTATCAGGGAACACTGGCAAAATTTTGGGTGTCACGAAAGCGATGCTACCTGTTGGAGGTGGAAGAAAATGTCCCACCATTGCTCATCCCTTGGGGACAGAGAGCAGAGAAACCGCCCCTCCCTCAGAATCTCGCCTTACAATATTTTAACCTTACTCCTAATACATTAGGAACTAAGATACTAGTACAGAGTATCACCCTCTCTACTCTACCTTTTCATATATATAAAACTATTAGGACGCAAGGGTGCCCAAAAGATGGTCAAGGCCCAAAGGTGTGCATGGAGTGAGACGGCTGGGTGAGGCTCTAGGGTGGGGGCAAGCCGAAGTGAGGGCAAACTCAGGCTGCAGATTCATACCTCTTCTAAACTATCTAGCTCATCTTGTATCAACCAGCAGCAAGACGCAAATCCTCCAACTACACGTTCTCCTTTTCACAAAGAGGAAAGAATATCAACCAGGAACATATCCATTTACTATTTGTTTAGTACATTTTTATCCTACCAGTCCTCTAAGGTGGTAGGTAGCACTGGCTTCCAGTGGAGTACTGAGTCAGGTTCAAGGTCTTGGTACTGACCTTTAAGGCCTTGAGTGGTCTGGGATCCACATATCTTTGGGACCGCCTCCTCGGGTATGTCCCCAAAAGAGCTTTATGCTCTGCTGAGAAAAACCTGCTGGTGGGCTCTAGCCCAAAAAGATGCCCAGCTGTCCTCGATCACTGCTAGGGCCTTTTCAGCCCTGGCTCCCACCTGGTGGAACTCTCTGCCAAATAACACCTGAGCCCGGAGGGGCCTGGTGCAGTTCCGCAGGGCTTGCAAAGCAGAGATGTTCCGCCAGGCTTTTGGTTGAGGACAGCAATGAGTACCATCTCATCTGGCACTTCCTTCCCCTCCCCCATCCTGCTTTTTTCTCCATCTGTTTACAAGACAGTAATGCAATTTGTAGATTGATTTAGCGCCACTGGAAAATGTTCTTATCTATTTTATTTTATTTTTATTTTAAATGGTATCGATTTCCTGTTGTTAACCACCCTGTGCTCTGTAAACTCGGAGAAGGGCAGTTTATAAATCAAAATTATTTTTTAAAAATAATAAAAACCTCTGCCTGAAACCTTGGAGAGCTGCTGCCAGTGACCTCAATTGGACTAATGATCTGACTCAGTAGTAAGGCAGCTTCACTTGTTTAGTGAGCTCCATTTTATCCTCACAATAAGCATGTGAAACAAAGTTTGAGTCCAGTGGCACCTTTAAGACCAACAAAGACCAACTAAGTTTTATTTGAAGTGTAAGCTTCTATGTGTAAAGCACAGTTCTTCACAAATGGAACAAACAATGGGGCTGAAAACTCGATGGTACCATTGAGTTTCCAGCCCCATTGCCAGAGCGTCGCCCAGCGTCACTTCCTGGCGATGGCATGGTGCGGCACGTCTGTTGTCCCCGCAGGAATGATCCTGCAAAGACGTCTGTGTCCCCCGCCGAATCATGGTAAGTACTTGAGAAGCCTGTCTCCACAAGGGCTACTTATAGGAAAAAAGAGGGTGGGGGGCAGCCATTAGGAGGGGCCACTCAGAGCCAAGATGCAGCTGCAGAGCTGAAACCGGATCAGGTGGCATCTTGGCTCCATTTGTTCCATTTGTCTGAAGAAGTGTGCTTTGCACACGAAAGCTCACACTTTGAATAAATCTTTGTTGGTCTTCCAAGGTGCCATGGGACTCAAACTTGGTTCTGCTGCTTCAGACCAACACGGCTGCCCACCTGAATTTTTCTTCATGGAATAACACTGTGAGTTTAGGTTAGGTTAGCCTAGGATACAGTAATGCTGATTTCACACACATTGGATAATGCATCTTCAATGTACTATAACCATCATTTGCAAGTGGATTTTCCTGTTTCACACGGGAAAATCGAGTTGCAAATGATTGGCAAAGTGCACTGAAAGTCCATTATCCAATGCATGTGAAAGTAGCTTAAGTATTTCAAGGTCACTCAGTGAACTTCATGGCAGGATAGGGATTTGAGCTCAAGACACCCAAAGCCCAGTCTGAAACCTTAACCACTATACCATGCTGACTCTCTGGTGAGAAATATGGCTGATGTTCCTCCTTCCCTCTGCAAAGTGAGAGCATGGCCCCTAAGGGATGTTCTCACTCACACTTAGCACAGGGGAAGGAGGAGGAGGGGCTTGCCGTGTCGCACAGGGCGAGAAAGACTGAATGTGGGGTGGGGTGTGTGGAAGAAATTAAAAGCCTTACGAGGAGATGGTGATCTTTGTCTCTGTGTCCTGCTCCACCTTCTTCAGGTTTCGGCCCTCTTTGCCGATCAGTCGTCCCACAAAGTTGTTATGGGCAAGGATTTTCAGGGGCACTTCATCAGCACTTGAGAGGGGGAAAAAAAATTAAGAGGGGTGTCATGGACCAGTATATCCTGTCCCGCTGCTGGCCAATTCTGGCCTACCTGTTAAGCCTCATTTTACCCTGAGGGAAGAGCAAGCCCCAAAACGCTGTGGACCCTTCCAGATGCTAAATGGGCACAGATGGGATTTGCATTCGATTCATAAATATGATTAGAGGGAGGAAAGGCTTCACTTGTCTCAATAGATTTATAGAACAGGGGTTGCTCCTTAGGATGAAATCAAGGTGATATTTCTCTCTTTGGAGAGCAATCTACGGACATAACTGCAGCCAATCAGGGCTCTTCCACATTCTCATTTGCATCACCTGTGTGTCTCTGTTGCTGGGAGGGGGATTCTTTTCCGCATGCGTTTTGCTCCCTCTAGTGGTCAATTTGATATTACATCACTGGATGTCTGGAATATCTCCGTGCGGATTAATAGTGCAGGGAAATTGACATACAGAGATGTAATATCGAATCGACCACTAGTGGGAGCAAAAGACATGTGGAAAAGATCCCCCCCCCCAAAAAAAAGTAATATAGGCCCTGGTCACAGGGGCCAGAAAACGCGGGGGGAAGGCGTGGCTCTTTGCGCCATCGCAATCTGATGCGCGATTAGGCAATCAGACTTGACGGTGGCATACTGGGGCTTCCACGATCGGCGCGCACAGCAAAGAGGATGCCGGCGTGATCACACCACAGGAGTCCAGAGGCAGCCCGTGGCAAACCATTTGCTGGTAGGTCGATCCTGGAGCTTTTAACTACGCGGCTTCAGCGGCTTGCTGCAGGTTGGCCACGGGAGTACTACACCTCCCAGATGTTCCGGTGAGATTGCTCCCGGAAAATCCGCCAGAGTATTGTGCTTTCAGCGGGGCAAATGCTCCGTGTGACTGGGGCTGTTGACACACAGGTGATGAAAATGAGAATGCGAAAAAGCTCTCAGTACTGGGTATTATAAAACAATGATCTGGACATTCAAATGCTGCTTTGTAGGGAGTAGCAGAAGCAGGCCTTTTTCTCCAAGGTCAGACCGACAACAGCCCATCCTTACGTCTTGGTATCTTTCGCCTCCTTCTGCATAATTTCCAAGATCATCTTGCAAGCTGCAGAGCACCCCTCAGGTGTTGAATGGATGCTAATGGCTTTCTCTGCTGCCCCTGCATTCTCCTTTCGGTGCACATCAATTCTATGGGGAGGCAGAAGAAAAGCCGCCTTAATACAGAAACTCGACAACAGTCCTAGTCTGTAACACAGATTCAGTTCTATGGGGAGGAAGAAGAAAAGCCGCTTTAATACAGAAACTTGAAAACAGTCACAGTCTGTGACAGAGATTCAGAAGGCTGACAGCTAGGGAAACAGAAGCTTCAAGTCCTACGTTCCCCTTCAGGGTTGGTTGAATAATGGGATGACCTAAAGTGATTTCCCAACTGCGGGAGAAAACAGTGCCCCTCAATCCCCACCCAGGCCTCTTTCAAATGACACACCAAGCTGGACATGCCAGCTCCCAAACTCTTACAAAAGTCCTTCTTCTTGTTCAGCCACCATTTCTGATTGTCGGTTGCCAAGGAAATCAAAATGGTGGCTGAACTCTAGTGAGAGAAAGTAAACTTGCAAGAGTTCAAGAAGACCTACAGGGCGAGCGTGGCTCGCTGCTCTATTTATAATGAAGACAGGGGTAGCAAAAACGTAAGGAGGGCTGTCTCCTTTCAGGGTCAGAGGCAGCAGCGTCAATACAGAGAAGAGTGGGTGGGTGGCTTACAGGAAGAAAAAGCTTACCAAAAAACCCTTCTAATAAAATAAATACATATATTGCTCTCCCTCTCTTCCACCCGTAATAGTCCAAATTTGCTTCGGGGGGGGGGGGGGCGATCACCTTGTTGTAAGGCTACCTTTGGATCTGCTCTCTGAGGCCCTCTGCCTGCCCCCACTGACCTTGCAACTGCTCATCCCAAACTGTGAAGACCCTCCAAGCCAGGGCTGAGCTTTCACTGTGTTCACAGGCCCCTAGCACACTCTTGGTGGTAGATTGATATGATAGTACAGCTAAGCAGCTGTGGCCTTACTTGGACTGTGTCTGCTTGGTTATGTTGCGAATGGTGGCGCCCTCTTTGCCAATGATGGCTCCCACGTACTGGGTGGGAACGAGAAGTCGGAGGGGGATGTCTACTGGCTGCTGCTTCACAGGCGCTCCAGAAGCCACAGGGGAACCCTGTCTTGGGGCACCCCGTGTGCCGAAGCCTCCCCGGCGCCCATTCTCCGCGCCTTGCACAGTCTGTTCATCGGGGATGTAGGAGACCTTCAGTGCATGGTTTTCCAGCTGGTGTCCGTTAAGTTTCATGATGGCTCTGAAAAGACAGGCAGAGGACAAAATGGCGGTGGAGGAGCGGAGACACACACACAAATTGCTTAGGTGCATCTCACATATTATATTCATGAGCTAGTTTATGAACTACAGGCAGTTCAGGAGGGGCCACAGTCTAAAGTTTATTTACTTCATTTATACGCCATTGTTCTTCTCCAATGGAGATCCAAAATGTCTTATATTTTTCTCCTGTGAGGTAGGTATGGCTAACCATGGCCCAAGTGCACCTAACAACCAACCTGCATGTTAAGGGAAACCAGATAAATACCTAAAAAAAATAACCCTGGATCCTCAACATCGGAGAGATGGCTATCAAGAGCCTCTCTGAGTTACCTGTAATAAAGGACAGGAGGTACACCTGACTTGCCAGTACACATCATATGACTGCTTAAAGGGATTTATCAGTCATCGGAAAGTTTGGGTCCACATTACAAAGGATGACTTGGTGACTAGTTTTTTCCAGCTTGACCCCACGTCAGCGTCTCACTCAAAGCAATGGTTCTTTGAACTTTTCAAGTGGGACCTTCTTTGAATCTTACGGTACCGTTCAGGGCCCAGTTTGAAACATAATGCGCTTTTCAGGACCCACTTGCAAAGTGACTCCATCCCACATTCTCCCTCTCCAGCATAAACAGCAAGAACCCCTTATCAATTAAGTCCATAATTTATTTTTCATGTTCGGCATTTATAAATATACAGCATCACTAAGCAGCAGGTTGTATTTCATGGCCATTTTACACCCTAAGCAGAAGCAAAGCTAACAACTAAATGCTCTGTATGACTGTGTTTCTTTGACTTCACTTCAGTCATATCCATTTATCCCCTGCCTTTTCCCCCAACCGGGGTTTATTTTGTTCTCCTCTCCTCCATTTTATCCTCATGTCAGTCCTGTGTGATAGATTAGGCTGAGAATATGTGACTGGCCCAAGGTCACCCAGCAAGCTTCTGTGACAGAGTGGGGATTTGAACTTGGGTTTCCCAGATTGCAGTCTGGCCCTCTGCCACTACATAGTGCTGGCTCTCCACTTGGCCAATCTATCTTGACAGCACCGCTGGAGTGTAATATGAGAATGGATTGCAGTTCCCAGAAGTTGCCTATAGATGGAGATGTTGGTATGAGCAAGACCCCATCATGGGACAACCTGAGCCAAGCATCCCATATAAGCAGCCACCTGTAACACCAATAACTTGAATGCTAACCTCGATATTGCTGCCCTCTCCATTACATCTACACATTGTGTCATAGTTGGAGGAGAGAGACCAAGAGTTTCTGGGTAGGAACCCATCATACTAGCTTGGCTGGTTAAGATCAGGGTTTAACAGACACACAGTTTACAATGGGTAACCCCTGATCATTCTTTTTTAAATGTGAGAATCTGAACTGGCAAAAGCCACTTAAGAAACAAGTGAAACATTTCTAGGTGCCATATATATGCGCACGGCATTTGGGATTCTTCATGGCCCTAAGTACCTGCATCAAATTTCTAAGTACCTGAATAACCTGGGATTTTCTAACTGGGGCCAGTTCGGCAGGAAGACGACACCTATGGGACCACTCACCCACACAATGGCAGATGCAAGGTGCCAATGCTCCTGGTGGCCACTCACAACTCTATTTCTCCCTGTCTAGGCATGCGGAGGTGGAATCAACACACACAACTTCCTCAGGGTGGGAAGACAGCCTTTCTGTGGAACTTCCACCCTGCTGTAAAAGTTCTCTGGGTGACCGTGGACCAGTCTTGCTCTCAGCATAACCTACATTGCAGGATTGGTGTTGTGAGAATAAAGTGAAGGCTGGGAGAATAGTGTTGCAAGCTATTGTGATGTCTCAGGTGAGAAGTACAGCAGGCTATACACCCCCCCCCCCCCCCCCCCCCCGGCAATAAATCACTGTATATAATTGCAGACTCTCTTAACTTACTGTCTGGTTTGCTCCCGGTTGGCATATGTGACATTGACAACTGCTGTCTCGCTGTCTGTATTCACTGACACAAAGAAAAAGAAATCTGACTTAATTAAAAGGGACATTACTGGCGGAAGTATTTATTATGACTATTTTTTAAATGTATATTCGGTACTTTTCCTCCAACACAGGCTCTCAATATGGCTCATAAACCAGAAGGCTTCCTAATATACTATAAACAAAAATTATTCAAAACTCACTCCATGGCTGTAAAAAGACCTCAACAACAACCAACAGCCTAAAACCCAAATGAAATTCTCAATAGAGAACTTTAAAAAAAAAAACAACCCAACAGCAACTTTAAAATCTTATAAAACATTTAAAACCAGCATGCTAATTAAGACAGCAATAAAATGGCACAGCATTAAAAATCTAATAATACCAACAACAACAATAATATTCATATCATCAAACCAGCAAAAAAATATTTTACAAAAAGAAATAGAATTAACAGCTCAACCCAAGCCTGAGGGGAAAAACAGGAGTGAATGGATGAAGTCTCTTAGGACGCCCAGCAAGATTAGAATAGATCTCCCTCTCCCAGGGGAGGGCAGAGCCTGGAAGGGGAAAGGGCAATCCAATAGAACTGGAGCTCACCAGTCACTTCACTTCCTGTCTCCATCACTGAGAGAAAACAAAGGTAGTGCGTATTGAGGGTTGAGAGCAAGAGAGTCACTGTATTCAGATGCCACAACAAAATATTTGGTGTTTACTCATGATGGGCACAAACACATCTTGCTATCAGGCTCATGCACTCACCCCTTGCACATGGAGCGCAACAGAAACCTGCCTGGCTTGGGAAGCCTTTGACTAAGCTCCAAATTTGCCGTCAGGTTCAACCGCAGGTGCCTTAGCATTTGTGTCCCTGTGCCCTCCTGACCCCTGAAACTGAGATTCTGAAATAGGATTTAGCCAGGGTTAAGAATCCCAGTTCATGAGAAGAAAACAATTTCCAATTTGCCCCCAATGTCTGCATTCAGTTACTCACCTGGTATCAGACTTGATGGGTTTTCTGTTGTCAGGTAAAGATGTTCTGAATGCTTTGATCACGGTTTATGTTTTGCAGGTTTATCTGTGGTTTTACCGCTATACTTGGTGGGTTTGTTAATTTGTTTGCTGAGAACAAATTTAGAGTCCAGTGGCACCTTTAAGACCAACAAAGGTATATTCAAGGTATGAGCTCCTGTGTGCAAGGTATGAGGTCTTGTTTGCACACGAAAGCTCATACCTTGAATACACCTTTGTTGGTCTTAAAGGTGCCACTGGACTCTAAATTTGTTCTACTGCTTCAGACCAACAGTTGACAAACTGGATCTTGTTTGCTGAGAGTTGGTTTGCTCTGCTATTCTTCTTATGTTAACTTAGGCCCTTTTGTCAGTATGCTTAGTATATGGTTGGGGGGGTGTTTGCAAGAGGGTTTTAACTGCTTTAGTGTGACTGTGGCCCCGGTCACACGGGCCTGATAACGCGCGGGGTGGGGGCGGGGGCGTGGCTGTTCGCCCCAGAGCAAAATAAAGCGCGGTAGCCTGATCACACAGTCCCTCGAGTCTCCATGCTTCGGCTGTTAGCTGGTGATCACACAGCGATGCTGCACCGTGGCAAAGAAGCGGCACGGTATGATCACACAAGCGTTTCGCGTTTGTGATCACACAGCGATGCTGCAGCGTGGCAAAGAAACGGCACGGTATGATCACACAAGCGTTTCGTGTTCGTGCGCATGCGCTTATGAAAAATATCCAGTTTGTGACGGGACGTGGACGGACACTGGATACCACGGGATACTAGCGCTCCCGCGATCAGACGCCTGCCTGTGCCACACATTTTCTGGATACTAGTGCACTTTTCCTTGGTACTTTTTAACTCCGCATCTTCGGCGGGATGCCACGGGTTGGCCATGGGTGCGCTACGCTTCCCAGATGTTGCGGTGTGATTGCGCCCCGAAAAGCTGCCCGACATTCATGCTTTTCGTGCGGCGAATTCTCCGTGTGACCGGGGCCTGTATTGTCTTACATTGTTTCTGCTGTGGCTTCTGGTGAGATCTTAACATTTATTTTCTTCGTAACTCATCAACTTGTATCCAACCGTTTGTGGGCTTAACAGAGTGGGACTCTCCGCCTTCCCTCTCCAGCCCCCCCCCCTACTCCAGTTTGTGCCCATTACAAACAAACGGAAGTATCTTCTGACATCTGAATGCAGCCAGTGATAAAGCCCCCGTTAGGATCCAGTGGTCTGGCTCCTGTATTTTGCTCCAAGGCACACTCCTATACGTTTTCTAAACATTCCCAAAGAATCTTACCTTGTTCGCAGTTTTCCACTGTACCATATTGAGCTAGCAAACCATCCAGAACCTACCCAAATGTGAGAATGGGGAGAAATTGTGTTACCCTCAATATTCTTGCCAGACAGAGTTATAAACAGCAGACATTCACAACACTTTCTCCTAAAGGTCTCCTTGTTGAATGGACATTATTTCGCTTCTCCTCCTTTCCAAATGTTCAGAGTGGGAAAGCATCACATCAAAATAAAAAATACACAAATATCATTCAATTAAAAACAAATAGCCACCCCAGCAATTGTTCTGCAAGCAGACGTTTGCACTGCAATGACACAACCTGGGGCTTACTACAGTCAAAATGAGCAAAGCCACTTGGATTAAACAGTCCCACTGAACCCTTTGCAGTAACATTGTGTGGGGACAGTGTTATATCAGCACTGGATCTTTTGCCATGTTTCCCAAGGTCTTCCTCCTCCTCTATGCCCTGGTATTAAAAGGAAGTTCAAGAATAAGAACATAAAAACATAAAAGGAGCCTTGATGGATCAGACTAATGGTCTGTTGGCCACAGGAACAGAAAGCTTTAAAGGGGAATCAGAGAGACTCGTGGAGGATAGGTCTATCAGTGGCTACTAGTCATGGTGACTAAAGAGAATCTGGTGACTAAAGGGAGCCTCCATGGTCAGAGGCAGTCAACCTCTGAACACCAGTGCCAGGAGGCAATATCAGGGGAAGGCCTCGGCCTCCATGCCCTGTTGTTGGCCCTCCAGAATGAGACAGGATGCTGGACTACATGAATCCCTGGTCTGATGCAGCAGGAAATCTCTTATGTCCATCTAGTTCAGAATCCTGTCTCACACACTGGCCAACTAGTTATTACAGAGGGCCAACAAACGGTACAGAAGCCGGGGCCTTCCCCCCAATGATGTCTCCTAGTACTGGTATTCAGCAATTTACTGCTTCTGATGGTGGAGGTTCCCTTAAGACACCATGGCTTGTAGCCACAGATGGACCTATCCTCCATGAAGATAGATCAAGATGGGTCATTGTGTTAATCTGTCTGTAGCAGTAGAAAAGAGCAAGAGTCCAGTAGCACCTTAAAGACTAACAAAGTATGTGGCAGGGTACGAGCTTCCGCTAGTCACTGCTCGCTTCTTCAGAACATCAGGTATAAGAAGTGAGCAGTGACTCACAAAAGCTCAGACCCTGCCACATATTCTATTGGTCTTTAAGGTGCTACTGGACACTTGCTCTTTTCTACGGCTATCCTCCATGAATTTATCTCATCTCCTTTTATTAAAGGGTTTGCAGAATTGCCACAAGAATATGCACTGGCATACACTGAAGCCTTGACTATTCACAAGTGCACCAAAAATGCCTTAAGGCAAGGGAAGAAAACAAGCTTCCCCCAAACACTGAGAAAATGCAAAGATGCTTTAAAAAAAATGACACCCCATATTTATATCTTAATAGATAAATGGTACTTGTGGGCAGATAGCTGGGTACTCTCTTCGCGGAGGTCAGCTTGGGCAGCTTAGACTGACCAACCAATGACTGACTCTTGCATGGGGGGGGGGACACACACAATCAATCGCCTCTCTCCACATACAGACACTCAAGGGGGCACACTCCAAGATAGTGCCCTGCTTTTAACAACATTCAGTTGCTAGACCTGGATGAGCATAGAGGGGATCCAGTAAGTTTAAACTAAGGGCAGGAAGGTACCAGCTAGATATTGGGGGGGGGGGGTTTACAGTAAGAGTTGTGCAACAGTGGAATCAGCTGCCTAGGGAGGTGGTGAGCTCCCCCTCACTGGCAGTCTTTAAGCAGCAGCTGGACAAACACTTGTCAGGGATGCTCTAGACTGATCCTGCATTGAGCAGGGGGTTGGACTAGATGACCTTTATGGACCCCTCCAACTCTGTGATCTTATGATTCTTAGAACAGGAGGCAGTCTGGTTGCTACCAGGCCTCCACTCTGATGTTGTGTTCAGAGCAGACATCCGTAGTCTTCAAACTCCACAGCCTCCTCTAAAGCTGCCTATTCTGCCCCCAGCCCAGCCCAGCCCAGTCCAGAAAACCCCTTCCCCTGGAACCTTGCATCACCTTGCCTCTTGGTGGCTGAAAACACAGGAAAAGTGCTGAAGACCTGTTCAGCCCAGGAAGTTACCCAGCAGTCATGGCAATGATAGGTCCCTGTGAAACTCTTTTCTATTAAGATACTCCACAACGAGAACAGCTTTCTGAAGAGCCAGCTCCACTACCCCCAGATGCACAGCAAGAGGAAGGCATACAGAGGAACAAAGAAACTCAACCCTCGCTCTGCTCGGTCTTGGCCCACACACTCACTCTCTCCACATAGCACGGGCTGTTTCACATATAAGTGAAGGTTTCTAAGATACAGACACACTTTTAGACCGCATATTTTTCAGTCACCTCACTTACCTCCCATCGTAGCTGAGGGGGGATGTTTCGTATCTGAATCTTGCGGCTCCTAAAATAAAGGGGGGGGAGAGAGTTTAGATTTCGTTCGTTCTTTCATTCTTTATTACGGTCATTTGACCAATCATATATGATTCCTTTTATTCTGTACTTTGTGCTCACAGGCCAACAGGTCATAAGCAAACAAAATACATAATCCATATCATACAGAATAATACAAACCAATAATACAGAAAATAACCAAACAACCAGAAATACTAAGTACAAGGAAAAAAATATAGTATTATGAATAAAAGTCATTAGAAACCATTGATAAAAATTTTTGCCACAGCAAGAGTTACACTTGGATTGGTATCAGCCGGAAGCTTTGTAACTACTTCTTGTTTTGAAATGCGTTCCCACTTCTGAATGTGTACTGTGATCCATCATATAAAACATTTACACTTAAAGATTCAGGCATACAGGAGACCAAATAAAAACAATTTAAAATTAAACTCTAGTTACAGTACAGTTTCCGAGACCTAAATATCACCAGACGGAATCTAGCTACTTGATGAGTAATCTTGGCATTCTTATCAGATAGAAGATAATCAAATCTCGATTTTTCTCATTGAGACTACAGAATTTGCCTAACAACGAAGAGATGAGCTTATAACTCAGTGTCAGAGAAAGTGTATTGTGTGGAGAAGGCCACAGGTTCAGTCCCTGGCATCTCCAATTAAAAGAATTTCCAGTACCAGGAGCTGAGAAAGATTTTTCAACGCCCGAAACTGTGCAGAGTAGACTGTACTGACCAGGATCAACCAAAGCAACTCTGTATATTACATATTTTTGTTTGGGGAGGAATTGTATCTAAAACATAAACTCTACTATCTATCTAGAAAGCCATCGTGGTATAGTCAGTGCTCCACTTCCTTGCACATTTAAACTCTGACAACACTGACCCCCCCCCCACAAGCAATGTTCCCTTTAAGCTATGGAGTCTTGTGAGCAAAAACGCTACTTTGTGAGCTGCTGGCATTAAAGTTGTGAGCAGGTAATTTGACTACTGCATGAATTAGTTTGCTCTGGAGCCAGCCTTCCTGAGCTAAGACAAAAATGTGTGAGCCAGAGGCTAAAAAAACTGTAAGCTAGCTCACACTAACTCAGCTTAGAGGGAACACTGCCCACAACATACTGACAGTGTCCAGGAGGTGGCAAAGGCCTGTGAACATTTGGGTCTTGTCTCTGCAAGAGGAAACTTTCCCCTTAGTCAAGACAATTATCCTCAGTTGGCACAGATAACCTGTGGCCCAAGGGAAGCACACCCTAGTGCCAGTGGCCATTTTGACTGAAGCCCCCTATACAGACCAATTATTTTCCAGTAAGGCCAGGGGTCTCTGTCATTTTGTACACTGCGCACAACTTCCCAATTTTATGCCTTCAACATCCACATATGCATACTTATTGAGCAGTTCATGAGCACTTCACTCTGAAACCCATGGAGGCAAGCTCCTAGAAATGTAACATTTCTGGAAAATTTTAAGACATGAGGAGAAATTCCCACCCTCCTTCCCAGGGAAAACCCAGAAATTCTAGAGAAAACTGACATGTATGTAATACTAAATTTCCTATCAAACATAAACCTATTGAGAAAACATCCGGGGGGGGGGAGGTGTTTTTTTCCAAGGACATTTTTTTTTCAAAAGGTTTCTTTTTCATAGGAAAGGGATTCTACAAAAGGCTCTTCCACCAATGGAAAGTTCCTTACTCTGGACTGGCACCGCACTTAGCTGAGCAGGATGGCAAGATAAAAGCCAAACCCCACACATCTGGTGTATAAGTGCCACTATGGGAAAGTGATTCTGCTGCTCCCCCGCCCCCCCCAGCAAAAAAGCTCTATGGACTCAACTGGTTCCTAAAAATTATCTCAAAGTTCACCATGTGGACAAAAAAAGTTCACACCTACTTCAAATCTGAAACGGCGGCAAGGTCCAAATCTGACACATCAGATAAACTGTCTAGTCTAACTTGCTTAGGTAGATCGATTACTAAGGGCCAAACTAGCCCTGCTGTTTTTTAAATAGGTAGATCCGGGTTTCCTGGAACCAGCTCTTGTTTTCCCAATGCCAAACAGCAGCAGCTGTTATTTTTTTGGTCTTTTTTCCTGACATTATTAGTGACTTTAGCCCTTATTACCCAATCCCATGATGACGGCTTCCATTCATTCACTGTAAACATTTTCCCTTGTCTGAAATAACTTGCATATCAAAGGCTGGATGATCTTTTTAAAACACAATTTAAGATAGTGACTACTATCACATCCTGTTACCACATCTCTCCGGCTCATCATAAATTCTGTAATCCTAAATAGAATTATACAGTTTGTAAGTCCATTAACTCCAAAGGTGGCCTTCGATCTTGAACAGGTTCTTCAACCCAGTCTTAAAATTATTCTGCAAGATAGATTTTTTGATACCTCTTTCAAAATGTTGGTCAGAGAGCACAAAGTGTAACATCATCTTTTATCAGACATGGTTTTGTTCCCCACCCCCACCCCCGTCTCCTAGAAAACCACATCCTGGAAAACCAAGGCATCATTCAAACTCCTTTCCTAATGCTTGACGGATTCAGGATCTGGATCCTTGTCTCCTCCACAACTCTCCAGAGCTTTCTGAAAATCGCATCCATCGGAAGGAGATGGGACAAGCAAAATTACACTCGGAGAGCGTCAGTGAGAATCTCAGGGGATCAATAAAGAGAAAGAATCTCTATAAAGGGCCTAGGGGGTTGTCTATGAAACAAGCTCTCGTTTTAATGGCTGAGAAAGATTGAGACCCCGGAAGGGGGGGGGAATTAAAAAGAATAACGGCAATAGAAGATTACGAAAAAGGTCCAAAAGACAAGAGCAACTTGCTATGCTCCCCGCCCTCCCCACTTCACTCTTCCAAAATCCTGCCTCCCAAAATAGAATCTTTGGGAATTTTCAATGCCAAAATTAACCCATCCTGCTATAGCAGCTGCCACACGCAACTACAGGTGGATCGTGGATACTGTCTCCGCCTTGCTGGACATTCCTAAATTCACCAAGCAGCTGTGATTTAGGGGTGATGAAATGTAAATACCGTAATAGATCCGTGGTCATGTGGGGCACGACCTGCTGTGACTATTTCACCCATGCAAACCCATATTTTATCGCTCTGTACCTGTCACATCCTCCGTCTTCTGCAGCCAGCCTTATCTCCTCCTCCTCCTCATCCCAAATTCTGCAAGGAAACACTAGCTCTGTTTGATAGACCAGTTACACACAGGGCTTAACTGGCATTGCAGAGACTACCATTCCAAATCGTTTCCCCTTGTGCTCTTGGCACGATTCACAGTATAATCTTAAACAGAGTTACACCCTTCTGAATCCACTAAAGTGAATGCGCTTAGAGAGGTGTGATTCTGTTTAAGACGGCATTGTCAGCTGCTTTAGAAGGGACTTGCACTTGTAAAAAGAGAGGATGTGGGGTTCAGAAAGTCAAAGACAATCCTGTAGGACTGGATTAGATGGTGTGGCAGCTATGGGGTGACAGGGAGAGGAGGGAAGGCTCTGAGGGAATTGCCTTCAGGACTAAAGAATATCCAGTCCCCCATTCTGGTCTTTCCTATAGATTCTTTATACCCCAACCAACCACAATCAAATGAAAAGAGGGACACAAGCCTTAAATTAAAGACTGGTAGTATGTAAGCTTTGTGGAGTACAAAGCTTACATGCTACCAGTCGAAAGGTCTCTTATTCGAAAATCTGCTAGACTAGGGCCGTACTTATATGTCAGGTAAATAGAGGCTGCGGTCAAACTGGAGGTTTGGAGCGATCTGGCAGCGCTTCTATTTGCAGTGGTTTAAATCGTCACGGGAAGGGCTGACCAGAAAGCACACCCTGAAGTGGCTCCTCCACGCTACGGTCCCACACTGAAGCATCCACACTACCAGCGCTTCAGTCACAGAGCACAGCCCTTGCTGGCAATGGGGGCCACTTATGCTCACATGTGCTTATGTGCACATCCCTAACGGGCGAAAAAAGGAACCCACGACTGAGACAGAAGTGACCATTCACACTTCCCATCTGTCACCTGTTTGCAACACGAGGGTTCAGACATGGGGGGGAAATGGAGTGGAAATGCTGGCATACGTAAAGACCAGACTTTCCCCTGTGTCAGCAAATTCCGCTTCCAGGACAGGCCGGACACGGTGCTGACGACTGGGGCACAGAAGGCAGATGTCGTTGTCTGATCATGCTCTTTAACTGCAACTATATCGTAACGCAACTATATCGGCTCAAACTGCTTGTGTGACCACAGCCAGAGATCACATTTCTTAGATTTTTGACTTGATGGACAAGATACAAATGGAGATGAACAACAAAGATTTATTTAACAGAAAACAAAATATTTACAAAGGTAAATATGATGTGTGGATGACGTAATACATAATGCAAAGCTGGCTTTCATAGTAAATAACCTCTGCAGGGAGCTTCAATTTCCCCCTTCTCTGGACAGGTTATCACAACAGGTTCAAGGCTGCTCTTTTTCTTACAGAGCACCTTACTACAGAACCGACACACACCAGTTAGGATGCTTATTTGAACCACTAAAATAAGCTTTCTTCCTTAAGCCGAACCCCAAACCTTAACTAAGGTGACACTCCTTTCCAGAGCCACAAAATCCCTATCCAAAGGGGGGGAATAGTTTTCTTCACCTTTCTTGAGCTCACCCCCTCCCATCCAGTGAAATTCCACGGGTTCTGATTGGCTGGCAATCACATGGATTTGCATGAGGCCTAAATCACAAGGATTGGCTCAGAGCCCTGGAGGAGGGGCGGGACTTGCAGATTTAACAGGGAAGAAGTCTATCAATGGCTACTAGCCAGGGTAAGTAAACAGAACTTCCACATTCAGAGGCAGTAAGCCTCTGAATACCAGAGCTAGGAGGGAATATCAAGGGAGAGCTTTGGCCTCTATCCCCTGTTAGTTGGTCCTCCAGGGCAACTGGTTGGCCACTATGTGAAAGAGGATGCAGTACTGGATGG